GGAGGAAAAAACGAGGGAGGATTAGGAGGAGAAGCTTTGGGAGGAGAGTAGGGTAAGGAGGTTGAGGAGGAGGAAAAGAGAAAAGAGGAAGAGAGAGAGGGAAGAGGAGAAGGAGGAGGAGGAGGAGGGGGGGGGAGGATGATGACGATGAGGATGAGAAGGATGAGGGAATAGGAGGATAGAGAGAGGATGAGGAGGAGGATGAGGAGGATGAGGATGAGATGAGAAGATGATGATGAGAGACGGATTTATGAGGAGGAATGGGTAGAATCTCAGGTGAGGAGAAAGGAGGAGGAGGAGGAGGAGGAGGAGGAGGAGGAGGAGGAGGAGGAGGAGGAGGAGTGTGAGGGGTAAAGGATGAAGGAGGAGGAAGAGGAAGGGAAGGGGAGCGAAGGATTTAAGAGGATTGTGGAGAGAACCTCAGGCAAGAGAGTGAGGAAGAATGAGGGAAGAGAGAGGAAGAGGAAGATGAGAAGAAAGGAAGGTGAGGATGATGGTAATAAGGAGAAGGAGGAGGAGGAGGAGGAGGAGGAGGAGGAGACGGAAGCTAAGGAGCGAAGGATGAGGCAAGTGAGGAGGAGGGAGGGTAGAAATGAGGTGGATGAGGAGAAAGATGGGAAGAAAGAGGAGGAGGAAGTGTGTTTACATATATATATATATATATATATATATATATATATATATATATATATATATATATATATACACATATATATAGGTCGTCAAAATGAAATGGGGGTTCATGTATATGTATATATGTATATAAAAGGGGAATTAATGCGAACTATTAGATTTAGGATATATAGAGGCACTTGGGATGTAGATGTCAATATAGATTTTATATATAGATATGAAGATAGATATAGATATGAATGGAATAAGAATTGACTTAAAATATAGACATTGATATAGACTTTGACATAGATAAAGTATAAACACTGACATAGATAAAGATATAAACATTGACATAGATAAAACTATAAACTTTGACATAGATGAAAATACAGACATCGGCATAGATATAGATATATTCATACGATTTTCTTCCGCAGAGAAAAAGAGAGAGAGGCCGAGAGCAAGCTGAGGGAAGCGATGAGGAACCATGAGATGATGCAACGACTCATTGACGACAAGGAGGAGGAGTTCGAGACGAGACTCAAGGCCCAGGTGGTTCAGTGGAAGACAGACTGGGACAACGTGGAGGAGGGACTCAAGGATGAGATTAAGAAACTGAAGACTGAGGTGAGGAATCGACTCCCACGACCATGCATACACGAAGGCAGATACACACACACGCGCGTGCGCTCATGCACACACACACACACACACACACACACACACACACACACACACACACACACACACACACACACACACACACACACACACCACACACACACACTCACACACACACAATATATATATATATATATATGTATATATATATATGTATATATATATATGTATATATATATATATATATATATATATATATATATATATATATATATATATATATATATATTCTTTTTTATGTAACTTTTTTATTTGGGGTCGCTGTAATCTGGTTCTGGCAGATATCCGGATGCCCTTCCTTCCTTCTAAAATAGAGAATGAAAGACAATAAGAACCTTGCCATTCCAGAAATAAGAAGAAGACAGAAAAGAAGAAAACTATTAAAACATGAATGTTAGGATGTGTGTGATTGATAGAGACAGACAGACTGTTAGAAAGACATACAAAGACAGACAAACCGAAAGACAAACAGACAGACAGAAAGACAAATATACAGACAGAACGAAAAAAACAACAACTAGAAATTGAACACAAGACAAAATAAACATATAGAAATACGTATAAACACATAAACGAAAAAAAAGATCACCTTACCTTCGCCAGAATCAGCTGTTCATAAAATTCAACCCCCCCTCCCCCACCAACACCAATGAATGACGTAACCAAGTATTGTTTACACACACGACAAACGTAAAGAGAAAACGTATTATTAGCTATTCATAAGCCTCCGGGCTAGTACAGTGGTAACGTGTCGGCCTCTCATCCGAGGGGTCGGCGGTTCGCCCAGGCGCGAGAAGTTGCAATTGTCGCCTGGAGGTTACTGCTGTGGCTGGGCACCACGGTGGGTAAGGACTAAGCTCATCCGAGTCAGCACCTGCTGACACACTGTTAGCGAGTCGACATTAGTCGGCACAGGCCGGGCTCCCCCATAGCCCGGGCGAGGTTCAGCTTCGCATATCGGACTTATCCTTAGCTATTCATAAATTTCTACCCCCCCCCCCCCACCACCAACAACACCAATGAATGACGTAACCAAGTATTGTTTACACACACGACAAACGTAAACAGAAAACATATTAACAGTCTCAATACAAAAGCCATTGATATGCAGATCGCATGTTGAATCGACGGAAGAAGGCCAGTGCAGCTTAATATGCTGGTCTTCATTAAAGCATTGCTAAATCCTCCAATAATTGTCGCGCTTTTAAATAACATTAATCATTTGTTTGTGTTTAGTTTTCAAATGTAAATAGAATGTCTTATATTTTAGGGGTTTAATGTTGTGCATCGTCACGTGCATTCCATAGTATACTGTATTAATTATATTCACTTATGCTACTATACAAGACTTCAGTAAACTTCATGAATATTGCAAATTAGTGATAGTATCACAAAACTAGTAATGATAATAACAAAGATTCTGAGGATCTAAGTATTTTATGTATTAACGTGATATCCATAATATTTACTGTAATTAATTACTGAATAATAGAAAAAAAGAAAAAGTATAAATGAACACACACGCACATATATATGCCTATATATATATATATATATATATATATATATATATATATATATATATATATATATATATATATATATATATATAAATATATATATATATATATATATATATATATATATATATATATATATGTATGTATGTATATATGTATGTATGTACTTATGTAGGTTATACTGTCATTTTGTTGCTGTCATCATTATATCCTATCATCATTATCCTTTTCCACTGCCGCTATCAATATCATCTCATCAACTTTTATCATAGTTATGATCTAAATCAACATTTCGCCTTAGCATTCTTATCACCTTGCTCCTGTTCATTTCACCAACTTTACTCTCTTTAACAGAACGACAACCTCCGCAGCGAGGCGGGCGCCATGCGAGGCCGCGTGGACCGAGCCGAGATCGAGCACGAGATGCGAATCCAGGAGCTCGAGCAGGAACTGGGCGCGAAGAACACCGAACTCGAGAACAGGACGAAGAACTTGAAGATCCGACTGGAGACGATGGAGAGCTCGAGTCGCCAGCAGAACCAGGAGAAGCTCGAGGTGGAGAGGCTTTTGAGGGAAGACCGAGAGAAGCTCCGCCAGCTTCAGCTCAAGCTCGACACTTTGGAAGCTTCGAAGCAGAGTAGCGAGCGGAGGGTCCTGTCTCTCTCGTCGACGGAGCGCGACCTCAGGGAATCCAAGGAGACGCTCAGTTTGGAGAACGAGGAACTCAAGGTCGAGCTCGAGGGACTCAAGACGAAGATGGAGGCGAAGGAGAAGGAGTGGGCGGGCAAGTTGGAGGCGGAGTCGAAGGCGGCGGAGAGCAGAGTGAAACAAAGGATCGAGAAGACGTGGCTGGAGAAACTGAAACGCAGCGAGGAGAGCGCCGCGCAGGACGTGAGTGGAGGTCCCGTTTTCTATGAGGGGTTTTCAGGGAGGGTTTCTCTATTTTGAGGTCTTGCTGAATTTTTCTTATAATTTTCTGTTATGAATTTGATATTGATAGTAGTGATAATAATATAAATATGATATTGATGAGTATGATGATTTTTTATGATAATGATATTGATATATGATGGTGATACTTATAATAATGGTAAAACGATAATAATATTAATCATAATGTTCATAATGATAATGATAATAAAATAATTGACATTAATAGTTATTGCTGATATCAATGCTACCGTAATCATTATTTATTGTATCATTGTTATTATAATTAAATTATATTTGTTATTGCTATTACCATTATCATTATTGTCATTATTGCTATTATCATTATCATCATCATTGCTGTTGTTACTGTTCACTGAATGATATGGCTTGATAAGAGTATTTGAATTTGTAGATTTTTTTTCTCATTCTCATTACTATACTCAGAATATCATTTAATTTTATAAAAGTTACCACAGAGTAATTCCTAAACGATAAAACAGCGAATTCTTTTAACATTCATTGCCTTCATTTCCCTCTCGGTCCTTGGCTATCAGTCATTACAGGAAGATTACTCAATATGTTCATCATTAAAGAGAATTTTATCTTTGTCGATATTCTAAAAGAAAAAGAAATAATGGCAGAAAATCCAACAAGAATCATATTTTTACAACTGATGATATGTTTATATTAACGTAACATCTCGAATCTTGTAATATAAAAGGGAAACGATTTTGATATTTAAGGATACGGTGGTTGATGAAATGATATGAAGTAAAAGAAAAAGTAAAAATAGGATTTGTTTCAAAATGAGAATAGTCTTTGGAGCAAACGAGACACAAACGCGGATATAACATTTTTTTTTATATATGATAACTATAAAACATGCATTTTTTTTAGATATCACAAAATATAAAGTTCGAGAGTAAAACAACAAAATAAAATAAATTATAATAAATACCAAAGAGGAAATAAAATATGGAAAATCACATTCTCGAAGACCGCCGTTTCTCCCTGCACAGAATCAACAAATTAATCCGGAATGAAAACAGAAATAAAAGAAGAAAACCAAAAAGAAAATAGAATAAATACCATAAAGGAACTACCACACGAAAATATCAATCCCGAACACCGCTGTTTCTCCCACCACAGAATCACAAATTAATCGGGGACGAAAACAAACTCGCAGGCCATTGTACTGGTCCGCCATGTTTGATTCGAGGCCGTGTTCCTCCCTTCCGGACAAGCCTCTCT